TCTAAAATGTAGAAACAAACCATTTTTTTACATAAAAGCCATTCGTACAGTAACAGCGAGGGACTTCCGCAATCGCGTCAATCGCTACGAACCGGGAACCGGTAGTCGATCCGCCGGTAACCGGTAGTCGATCCGCCGGCGCCCAATTCACGATCATTACGTGCCAAAATTTCAACTTTGTCTGGCGCTTAATTGAGGTGTAAAATACAAAGTTTTTGTGGCACTGGCGCCTAATTGAAGGTGGCGCTTAACTGAAGACAAATACGGTATGTGCCAAATTTGAATGAAAACTGACAGAGCACGTCCAAGATACTGCATAAAAGAACAAACAAGATGCCTGCCAGTCGGCCATCTTTGATCCAATTGCGAAATAAATCGTCATGGACATGTATCCTAACATGTATGATCTATGTACTAAAATTTGAATGAAAACTGACAAAGCATGTCCAAAATATGACATTTTCAAAAAACAAGATGGCTGCCAGTCGGCCATTTTGAATCAAATTGCTGAACCACTGCATGTGCATATGTCCCACATAAAGTACTAGGCACATGCAAAGAATGAACGGAATCGGTCCAAGGGATTCTGAGATATGACTCCGGACGGACGCACGGACAGACAGAGACCGAATTATAAGTCCCCGTTTTCGGACTTCGTATGTATTCCAACGCATATAATCCCAAAAATGTCATAATGATTTAATGACATTCACAAAGATAACATTTTTTGTTATTTTCTCTGAATAATGAAATTCATGAAAACTTTCTCTCACAAGTAAATAATAATAAGGAATAATCATAGACAGGTTATCCTTGGATGAGTACCAAGCGCATCAAAAAATCAAACATTAAAAACATGAGTTTTCAAATCTTTGTGGAAAGTTATAATAAATTGCCTGATGGATGGAATAATATATTCCAAACTGTAGACCAACATATCAAAAAGTTTATTCCCCCAAGTTTTTGGATATACCAAATACAACCAACTTTAAATCAAAATTTATAACCAGTGTATAGAAATTCAGCGACACTTTGTTATAAACTTCATTTTCAAACATACCATCACATTTCCTAATAAGGTCTGATGCAGTAACCCCCCCCCCCCCCCCGCTACACACACACACACAGTACAGCAAAATTACTGCTCACTGTAACTATGGTGACAGAAGTATTGGCGATCCGCTCCGCTATAATAATATGTATTGCTCACAGCTTTTTGCCTTTTCTTTTCTTCTTCTTATTATCACTTTCATCAGCCTCAACTGTTGCATCTGGAATTTCATCCAATTCATCTAGTTTGTCATCTGGCATACTAAGAACACTCTCGTCAGAGGCGATCACAATATCATAGAATCCTTCATTAACCTGATTCACGATGTGACAGCGAGAATTTACTGGTAATTCAGAGTTCAGAACACATGATGCAATTGAGAACTGTTCCAAAAATAACTTTAATCTAGAAAAAAACAAAATATATTTGGCATACAATATTCGCTATATTTTAATGTATTTATGTAAATGACAGAGGTGCATTTACATTCAAGGTAAGTTTTATTCAAATGATCAGCCATTTTTTGGTTTATCTGTGCTTTCTACAGAAGATGGGTGACTAATAGAGCATGTGGATCATAGAAAGGAAACCAGATGTATGTAAGTGAATAATTAATTAAGAATGAAAGAAAGGCCGCTCCTTACCTGTAACACCTGTCAATCTTGTTGACAAATATAATTGTCTTTCCTCGTATTAGTTTTAATTTAATTAATGTGTAAATAAGTAAAAACTTGTCTTCTGCTTTACATTTGATATGATATTGTAATAATCGATCACTCTCAGGTAGCTGAGATTCTTGAAGTTTTAAAATCACCTGCGAACAAAAAAAATACCACCATATATAACTATCACAAATATCTATCCGCCTCCACTTTCAAAACCGGTAAATTTTACAAGCAACAAAGCCTGGCTTTATTCATGTTCAGTGAAGAAGTTCTTGGAAAACTATTATTAACTCTATAAAAATATCCTATGTGAGTAAAACAAATAAACCTATTGACTTGTTAAAAAACAACAGTACTTAACATTGATTTTAAAGTTCCCCCCATGTGTGCAACATTAATGCATACTCTCAATAGCCAAGTATACAGAGAACACAATTCTAGTCTGCTTTCCCGCAGTCACTTAATTATAGCGCCCTCTAGTGACATAAATACATTTCATTTTGTTTTTCAACTCACAGGGTTATGCAGCACAAGCTTCTTCAAGGTTTCCACTTCGTTACTTAGTGTGGCCGACATCAAAAAGGCTTGAAATATTTTGGGTAAATGTCTAAGTAATGTTTTTACATCATTCTCGTAACCAAAGGAAAATAAAAGATCAGCTTCATCAATGACAAGCATTTCCAGGGACTCCTTGAGGTATATGTTCTTGGCTTGTATATGGGCTAACACCCTGCTTGGTGTGCCTACGATGATGTCAGGCTTTTCTATCAGCAAAGGCCTACAAAAATGAAATCAAAATATTCAGATGATGGCTGTTTTATTAGTTTCAAAAGTGAAGCATCGCTTGCTATGAGTGTTTTCTTGAGGAGTCGTGGGTCACCCAAACAAAACTATTTTTCACAGGCCATCGGCTCCATGAACATGCACTGTTCATTCTTGAAGTTCAGTGGATAATTTGCATACAGATAGTTTATCTTACAACACAATCAGTGAAGAACTGCTTAGTGATTTGGTTTATGGTTTGTGAACTCTTGACAAAATGTGACATAACATTTACAGCGAAGTATTAACTGAGAAGGGCGTATTTTTTTCTCATATAAATGTAATAAATTATAAAGTACAATTGCAACAATGATAAAAATTATTATGGAAAATTCATATACCGATCATGCCCGCCTCTGAAAATATCTTGGCCTCCTATTGAAAATGGGATGGCCTAATCGAATAACAATCTCCAGACACCAATTTGAATCAGCACAGGCATTCGTTAGCAATTAGGTGTTCCTTTCATTCACGCATCCACAGTATTTGCAGGTGGTTTACTCCTCGAAACAACAACATCTCCAAGGGAGTTTTCGGAAGACATGACAGATTAAGGTAACA